TACATTTTTTTTAGCTGTTTTATCCATGAAAATCGGCTTTTCCCATAAGAGTACGTGTAAAATCAGTGTAAATTAAAATAGTTATATCTCAGCAACCGTTTAGTGGATGCATTTTTACTTTTCTGCAATAAATTAGGAAGACTAAAAGAACAATTTCACACATTTTTAGCCACTTTGTACTATTTTGAAGATAGGTCCGATACATCCTTAAACTATTCTCAAATTAATATCAACTACTAGTCATATTTAATAATAATAATCTATGTTTCTTATATGTTTTAGGCTTCCGCATGTAATTTAGCTTATATATTAATATAAAAAATATTTAACGCACGAAAGTCTTTTAATTGTTATTCTTCTGGACTGAGCGAAGAGAATATATCGTTTACCCGCTTGATGAACTCTTAAGCGCGCAAGGCGCGCTTTGTAGTTAACTTGTATTTAATATTTATAAAACTATTGTGATAGCGTCTAATAAGCTATCTAATAATGAATTTCTAAGTTATTTCCTTCCTATACTGGCCTTGAAACTTTTCTTCTGAAGGTATAAAATTTATCTGACGCGCGCGCGTTTCAATATATTAGAATTTTTTATTTTCCACGAATTTGTATCATTCACGATTCATCCTCGAAAATTTAATAGCACAAATGCATTCAGTTGTCAGTATTGAACGATATTCGATACCCTATCTAGTACGATGGCAAGTCGCATTTTGATTTCCATTTACACTCAAAGTAGTGTTACGTTGCACCCTAACATTATTATAGGGTAAATCTAGTACCGACAGAAAATATATTAGAAACAAGTTCAATAAGAAGCTACTCTAATGCTTAGGATTTGACATTTCTACGTGACAGATTTACATATCACGGTATGTGCTCTTAACAATACGTTTAAAATCATTTATAATAGAAAAAGAATTGCTTCATCTTTATGCCATCGTCACTCCTGTAGAAACCATTGCGTACTTTATGAGTACATGAAGAGTCTGATGAAAAAATGACTCAAGTCGATTTAAATTGTATTTTCACATATTACAAAAGCTAAACTAGAAGCTTTACAATTGTATTCTACAGATCAGTATCTATAAAATACGCACTTAGAATCTTATAGTTCGGTCAGTAAGTATGTAAATTTTCCATTTCAAAATTTTGAATGTAAAATTTTTGTACAAAAATTTAAGTCGAGAGACAAATCGTTTTTCCACCAAACTTCCCAATTTGAAAGTTATTTTTCTTATATCAACGTCTTTTCTTGACTGACAATGAAAAATCGACACGAAAATATACTAGGCGCTGCGACTGTACAGAACCTACTGGAGAATCCATGACGAGATCATCTGCTTCGATTCAGATACTTCGGTATCGATTACGATACCAACTTGCTGCACTGACCGCTACAGGGAGGCAATACGGTGACGAGACTCTCGGTTTCGCTGTCGCTCGTGCTGAAATTCGCCCTCTCCAGAGCCATCGCGGCCTCGGTCCTCGCGCCGAACAGTGGCTGGTAATACGACGGACTCCTCGCACCCAGATCCACGCCGGAATCGGCGCTCTTGGAGATTTCAGACAGTCTGCGAAAATTGCCGAAGAACACGCTGTCGGTACCGACGCTCTCGGCGCCGCTCTCGCTGGCGCCGTCGCATACCGACTCGGTCTCGTCGGTCTCCTCGGACACGCTGCTTACCTCGTGCCTCAGCAAACGCTTGTGCGAGCCGTTGCTGTCAGTGCTGCTGAGGTAGCCGCTGTCCTCGACCTTGACGTGACCACGCCGATTGTCCCCCAATGGCAGCACGTTCGCGTTGGAATCGCAGCTCTTCGAGAGACCCTTCATCAGCTGTCTCGTTCTGGAGCAGCTCTGCGCTCTGCCGTTGTTGAGAAGCTTGTCCTCCTCCTCCCGACGATGTTCCACGCTCCATGATCGCGTCTTCGTACTCTTCACGGAACTCCTGTGATGAGAGGCACCCGTGACGGATCGTTTCTCCCGCGTCACCTTCGTCCCTCGCACCGGGACTTCCTCTTTGGAGGGACTCACGTGCCCGTAGAACCTGTACCTGTCCTCAGGAACTTCGATTTCGATCCGCGTCTCGCACGGGCAGTCCCTACAGCCGTTCGTCACAGTGCAATCGTCTATTCTCTCGCCGAAGAACGTCGTTCCCGTTAAGGGAATCGACGTCATTACATCTTCGCGATGTCCCTCGTTGTAAATCTCGTGCTTGGTCGCGACGTCGACTTGAGTCTGCGACGCACAGCGACAGGTCTGGTCCCCTACATAGTATCCCTCAGCTTTCGGGACGGGAGCGCCGTTGCTGGCCGTAGGGTCACCCGCTCCGACAGGACTCCCGTCCCAGGCGTTTTTTGGAGATAACGGCGGCAGTCTCGCGTCCTCGACGCGTCGCGGTGGCTTCGGCCGCTGATAGATGTCCTCCTCCGTGGGCGGCAACGGCACCACGTCCGGCTGATTATGCGGCTGTCGTTGTCTCTTCGCTTGTCTGCTGTCTGGCGTCAAATACCTGCACTTCTTCCACGAGTGAACAATGTCGGACTCACCGTTCATTTGGCATTCGACGTCGTGGCCGTTCGTCAAGTGCGGATCTTTCAGACTCGCCTTGATCCTCGCCTCGTAGATCTCCCGTAGACTCCCGTGGCCGCGGTGTAGCGTCGAGTTCTCATCGCGGAAACTGCCCCTGCTCTTGAGAAGGATCTGAGCCGGTCGTTCCAACGAATCCACATAAATCTCGTTGGCGATTTCCCCTCGATTGTACTGTACATCGTCGTTGATCCGCAGCTTCATCGGTTTTCGGTCCAACGTATCCGGCTCGTACTCGGACTCGTCGAGCTTCACGTAGTTCTCCGGTGAGTCCTGGACTTTGATGGTCAAATGGCCCGGGTTCTCCGGCTCGTATTGGATCTCCGGACCGCTGTCGTCGCTGCAGGCCGGACTGGCGTAGCCGTCGTTCACGTAGACCTCGCTCACCAGCGAGTACGTCTCCGATCGTTGGCCGCTGATCAGCTCCGGCAGACTGTTGTAGCAATTCCTCTCGGCAATAATCTGATTACTGAGCTTCGACATCGTCATTTCGCCGGTTCGAGTGTTGATCACGGCATTTTGCATCGTCAGCTCCTCGTCCATCGGCAACGCCGTAGACAAGGCCGGGCTCGATTGATTATCTGTCGACGACTGGTCCGGCGATGTCGACGATTTCCGATTGCACTTGGAACGCTCCAGACTGTCCACCTCGTAGTCGATCGCTGCAGTACGATCGGGCAATCTAGCGTGATGATGGTCCAACGCCTTCACGTCTACCATCTCGCGTATCACGGCGTCCATGATACGCTTCGCGGTGTTCTTCGCGCCGGGCAATTCGTTGATCATATCCGGGAGTTCCTTCTTCTTCGGCGAGGGCACGCACGGCGCCTTCGACTTCCTCGATCTCTTCGGCGCGGGATTGCTCTGCGATTGCTGGGGCCGTGATTTGTCCGATTTGTCCGTGTTGCTGGACGATCTCTCCGTCCTCGCCGACTCGTCCTCACTCTTGCTGTTCCTGTCGTCTTTCACGCTCTCCTTCGTCTCGCTTTCCATGGCCGCGTTCTCCTCCATCTGCTTGATGAACGAATTCTCGATGGCCTTGCGGACTTTCGCGTTTATCACGTCGTCGCCGGCGGCAAACTGGAACGGTCTACCGTTCGCCCGTTTACCGCGATTGTAACGATCGTACTGGGATCCCTCGAACATGGACCTGGTCGATCGTCTGGACACGCTGTGGCGATCGTTGTTCTCCAGAATCTCGCTTCTAGCGGCGATATTCTGGAAGGTCCTCAGCATCGGTGGATTATCCTTCCACGACGACACCGATTTGCCGACGAGATTCGCGCGATCGTCTGGATCGCCGAAGTCGCGTCTGGCCAGCTCCTTCAGGTACTCCAGATTTCTGGCAAACGTTCGTGCGTTTTCCTGGAAATTCCTGCGCGTGTCCTCGGCGTCCCTCCAGCGACGCTGCGGTGGTCGCACGTCTTCCAACCAGGCGCGCACCTTGCTCTCACCGTGGCTTGGTAGATCGGGTACAGGAAGAGCAGGAAGCTGCCGGGGAGACTCGCTGCAGCCGGGACATCCAGTACACCGTTGGGATTTGCGCGATTTCGCGACCGAGCCACCCTGAACGGAACTCGGGGTGGTTCTTTGTTGATGCCTGCTCGACTTTGCCGATTCGCATCGTTCGGAGCCGCTCTCCTCTTCCGGAATACCTACGTGTTAGATTTATCACGCTGATGATGGTGACGACAACGAAGCGAAAATGGCCATTTAATTATTCCCAATTATATCGAGTGAAAGTCGTTGCTTTCGCACATTATAAAATGCTTCACGTGCTTTCCATTGGATGCACGAAATGTGCTCATGCGAGTCTACGGGGAATTCAAGAAAACGAGACCGAGGGAATAAAATAGTTGGAAATCCGCAGATGTACGAATGCGAGGAACATATTGAAAATGCGCGGAGGTTCGAGACTGGATTGTACTTTCACGATTTTCACCAATTTCTCTATTGACTATTCTATTCCTCGCACGAACGAGAAGAAACATTGATTTATTTCATATCCTACGCTTTCAAATTACGAAAACTGGTATCTTCTTCGTATCATTTGCTTCGTGAAGCTCATTCTACCTTATTAATTTTGAAGGACCGATAATAACCCCTCTTCGAGGAAATACGGACGCACTCACCGATGAGGGTAGGGACGAATCTCTTTGCAGCCATCTTGTGCTTGGCGATGGAGATGACTTCTCGGATTTTGAGCAGGAACTCGATGGCAGCCGGAGGTGGGGCCTAGGAAAACGCCGGGCTGTTTTCAAATTATCTTGTCGCTGGTCGAGTGCGTAAGAACGTAGACGAATCGAACGGACGTCGAGGGTACGACGTCCATTAAAAGCATTCCAGACTTCGAAAACGCGCGGATGACTGGCGCGCATGGGGAAATAAGCAACATTTTTCCCCTCCCTTTCCCGCCGCCCCGTTAAACAACTCACCAGCAATAGCTGTCGATCGAAGTACGCGGGATTGAAGTACAATTTCCTTCGCTGAGCACCTGGAAGAACCGGTACATCTTGCTGATTGTCAGCCGTCTCCACGACCCGTACATCCTCTTCCGGTAGTCTCTCGCCCAGAATAGAGCCCGCGGGGAAGGGCCCTTCCGATTGTTCCAGATACAGGCAATGCGGATGAACGATCGCGGACGTTATCTGCTGAAGAAACATGCGACACGCGTTGACCGGCGAGGCTCAAGAGCGAGGCTGAATTCCATGATTCGTAAAGCACATCCGAACCGGACATTACGAGTTAGCGACTTTTACCTTCTTCCTTTCGCTGATTCCTCCAATCTTATCGGTTTTAATCAATATTTGTTAGTGATTTGTTGACGACATTATCACTGAGATACTTTGGCACGAGACTAGATCGTACAAAGGCTCGACTTCTTCTGGCAGCGATGCGACTTATACTCGCACGCGCTGTTTCAGCAAAGAAAAGAATTGCGCTACGTGGAGACTGGAAGCGGTTCGCAGAACGCGCTAAAATCGCAGTGCGTGGTATTCTAACAACCGGTATACGGCGTAAAAGTGGGATGCACCTCACCTACTTGGAATGGTACGGACTAACGGAGCGCAAAACCAATGCGCTAATTGGATGCATTATTAAACGCGAGCGGTGGTCCCGGGAGAGAGAGACGGATGACTTTCCGCACTGGAGATCTCGCGAATCGCGCGAAGAGATAACCGCGGGCAATTCCGTTGCGTAGCACCGTGCATTTGAATAATTACGTAACATCCTCTGGTTTGATGTAAGACTCGTCTAATTACGCGATAGAACAAGTATATCTGCGATCTATTTCTGGCAAAATCAAAATTTCTCCCCGTACTTAATCCAGAAGCAATTCTATTCGTGTATTACATACGATGCGCGCGAAGTAACTCGTTTAGATAAAATTATTCGATTGAGCTCGGAGAACAGTTTGCTGCGAAAAATTCAACAATTGATTGCGACAGTTCATATTGTACACTTACATTTTCGAAGCCTTGCTCGTTATCGCTCGCGGGAAGATCCTCGCCTAAATCGCTCTCGGTGAGTCCGCTATTAGTGTCGCTCTCGAAGTGTCTCGCGGCGGCCAGCAGGGGATTACTCTTCACCAATCCGCCGCCGTCTCGACCACCGTCGAGAGTGATGTTCGCCTCCTCGATGGATTTTCTCTTCGTCCTTCTGCTGTGCAAATATAACGATACGCTGGCCACGTATATGAGGGCCAGGATTACGGAGGAGAGTCCGATGGCGGTGTATTCCGTGGCTGATAATCCCTGCGATACCTGCGACGTCGACGAGAACATTACTTCTCGTACACCTGTTGAAAGAAAAATAAACTCATTCTCTCGAACATCCTCATTAGTTGGTGGTCTGCTCACATATTTACACGTAAAATTAAATCAGCATCCTAATTAAATTGAATTTCATTAAAACAAATGTAATACACGTAATAAATTTATTTTAAAAGGCGAGTTTTTCTCTTTTATTATCTTTAAATTTATATTTTAATATTTCCGCGTATTTTAATAAAAATATTTTAAAATGTATGAAATGTTATGTGCGTAGTGTTTAATTAATTAAACATCATGAGTCTTGGAATTTTTTTGTATATACATAATACGGTAATCTCTTTCTTATCGTACATACTGTTTTTTGATGGAGAACCGGCCACTCTAAAGGCCACGCAAGGTGTGAAAACCCCAGCGAATGTCGACTTCGGTGACGCGTCTCTACAGACGAGCTTGGCTGTCACGACTCGTCCTTCCGCTGCGTCTCTCAACCCAGCTTCGCCGATCCACTGAAATGATTGATTGATTGATGAAATGATGGATAATATGACTGTTCATAAATTATGAATTATGAATGCATATATTGGATTGTACACAGTATGACAAATTTTATTATACATTTACTATAATACGCAACATCTGCATGTAACATGAAAAGAACTGACAAACAATAAATGGAAATTAGATCCAATTAACTGTTATCGTTTCGATGTGCAAAGGCAGGGTGTCCAGCAAACTCAATAAAAACAAAATTTCCCTCACTTTTTCAGGTTTTCCAGGAGGCGGAATTAATTTTTCCCTGACCGTTTAGTATAACTTTTTTCAAGCATAATTTGCGTACATCTGTATGGTAAGCCAAGTAAATGTTAAATGACGAAGTCCTTGAAATATTTTTCTCGGGAAACGAAAGTCCGGAATTTAAAATGATAAAAATTTAAATTAAAGCAATTATACCATCTAGGTCTAATACAATGTGTAATAAAAACGAACATATAATTACAAACCATTCAAACCATTTGTGATACCGTACGCAACCATATATGATGCCTTCGTTTTGCTTAATTTTGTTTGTAACTTACTAGATAGTACTGTTTAGTAATTCATCTTTTTTTATAGTTTTGTCTCAGTTGAACACATTGAAATAAAATAACACGACGATGAAAATACAAATTACCGACCACGCTTATAAATAACTTGACGTTTAGCAAAACAGAAAATTAGTGTACTGAGAGCCAAAAAAAAGTTTATTTTCTAAAAACTTTAAATTATTCATAAAAAATGTGAAACGATGTAAAAAGTCCAGATAAATCGTAAAATTTCCTGACTTTTCCCTGACATTTCCAGATTTCTAAAATTCCCTGACAATTTCCGGTTTTCCAGATTTACCTGACCACTGGACACCCTGAAAAGAAATTGTTCTTGTTCCTTTCAAACGCCACCGCCTCGTAGGTGGTCTTGCTATAATTATTGGTATAGCAAAGATAAAAACAGTGAGTGGTAATTGGACAAATTTAGCATTTATTGTATATCGCGTTTCGACCTGCAAAGAAATTGCTTTCTTCGTTTCTTTTGAGGGATGCCACGGCGCGACTTAATTACGGTAATCAAGGGTATCGTTGGCGCTGTTCAATTGCGAAGATACAGCTTCAAAGGCTCGTCTTGTATCGCTCGAGCAGAAACGATATAGTTAAACCTGCGATTTTCGCTGGAAATCAGCTCGTAAATATTTCTCCCGATTCTCCTGATCGATCCCGTCCGCTGCTACGCGGCCAATTGCGATCTTACACTCGCATAATGACAGAGAGACAAGATACTTTTCTCTCTCACCAACTCTCTCACCTGAAGGAACGTTCTGCCCTCGTCCCGGAACAGTCTGAAGGGCGGTTCGGCATCGGAGAGATTCCTCAGCTCCGACCATCCCGCTCTTCCCAATTGCTGGGCACCGGCGATCCCGCATACAGGAGTGGTCACACCTAGTTTTCGGAAGATAAGTTATGTCCGTATTAAGCGATACACAAGAAACAAGGAGGATAATGAGCGGAATATATGCGGGGATTTTGTTGGAGACACGTCAGGTGAATATTTATAAAGGCTGTGCGGCTCACTGTGCCTTTATCCCGGGATAAGGCAATCGCGACAAATTCGTTTCTCTCGTGTGCTAATATATTTAGCTTTTTTTTTGCCATATAAGTCCCACCTCATGTTAATCGGGCTTTTCATTATTATAAGTCTATTTCTGCATCAATAATGCTCAAAGGATTCTACAGGATCCTAGATACCTAAACTATGGAATTCTAAACCCTGTTAATATTAATTATTTTCATGCAATTGTTGATAAATCATTTATGTCAAAAAATGTACGATTCTTCAATCGAAATTCGGTCACGAATATATTTCACGAAGGATTTAACTGAAAGTCTACATATGGGGGTTAAAATTACAAAATTAAAAATGGTGAACCCACGATGGCGAACAAAGAAGCAAAAATTCAAAAATTCTTATAAAAATGAGTAATGAAGGATCTTTGGGGTCGCTGATTACGAATTTGAAGTCAGAATCGTAACGTTCAATACAGTGGATTCGAGATCGTGGATCTATTATGTGATCTTTAGCGGAAAATTGCCAATTCAAGTAAAAATTGCCTACATATTGGGTCCACCATCGTAGAAGAACTATATTTTACAATTCTGACTTTAGCTTCGTAATCAGCGACAACAAAAACCTCTAGGTACAAAGTTCCGCGGAAATTCGTCAACTTTTCTCAATTCGGTCCGCCATCTTGGAACCGCCATTTAGAATTTTGCATTTCTGAGCCCAGAATCGTGATCAGCGATCCCAAAAACCTAAAGAACCACCATAACCTTCATTATTGGTTGGCTACAAAAATGTGCCCCCGAAAGGGGGAAAATGTCAATCCATTCTTACGTAGCAAAAATAAGTGTCATCTTCCAGTTTCTTTTTTTTATTTGAACGCTGGGGAGACTTACCTTCGAAGCGAATCTCCGCGTGCGGATATATTATCTGTCCTCGCTGTGGTAAGAAAACGTACGGTACTCTCTCCACGCGGCCGTTGCTGTTGACAAATCCAGCAACGTTGCACTCTAAACATTGAAATATTGTGTATTAAACTCCGTTAAAAAAAGGTATATGTTCAAATTATAACAAATGTTTATATACAACACTCTTTATACTGATCATCGAAGTTAAGTATTGCACAAATTTGTAGACGGTATACAATTATTTAATATGGAAACCAATTTATTCAATATAAAAGATGCAAAGAAGCTGACCGACGTATTAAAAGAATTTTTAACTTAATATTTCATACTGTCGGATTAAAAATAATTTCTCGTTAATGAAGCTGTTAATAAAATTAATACAATACTTTCTAATCAATACATCGCGGTATTTCGATACTGAGAAAAATAATCCTAGAATAATTTTATACCTTTTACAATACAAAAAAGGGGGAAACAGTAAATTATAATTTCATGTATTATATAAAAAAGAAGCTACGGTAATCATAAACTCTACAATTGAGTGTTTCTTCAGGAAAGCACAGAATTGAGGTGTCTTTGAGACGGCGATTAGTTTTTTCCGTGCAATCATACGCTCACTTTACCCAACAATTTCGGTGGGTGCGTAAGACAGCTTGTAATTTCGAGCAAAATATCGCCCTCGGCCAGCCTCGCTGTTTTGCCCACATTTGAATAAATTACGAGGATCCGGCTTACATCGAAAATCTCGCGAACTTCTGGGAAACGGGGCACGAACCTGCACGAATATAAAATTCCGTGAGGAGAGTTCCGCAAAATCAGACAATTCCTCCTTTTTTTATCCATAATTCGGAAGCATAACGAGATGTCTCTGAGAGAAGATGCGCCGTCATGTAACAGGCTTATTACCGTATTTCTAAAGCGGCAGTTGCGCGACATAAATGCGTCTCGAATGGAACGCAATATTTAATTTTTGAGTTGATAAAAAAAGATTTGTCGTTCTTATCTAACGCTTTGCGGGAAATAATTCAATATTAATTTTCGAAAAATTAACAAGCTCTTTTGAGATTCCTTTGACAATTCCTTGCACAATGATAAACATTTTCAGTAAAAATGGCAATTATTTCATCTAAATAATTATAGTAATTATTGTAGTAATTATCTAAGTACGTTGTTAAAATAAGAGCTTAATTTTCTTGGTCACAATAAGTGGTTTGATTTTTTAATACTTTGTAACAGTCTG